TTTTTTTTTAAATTCCTCTTTTCAGTTTATTTGGCAAAGAGTTTAACAGAAGTCGCTATTGATCTTGCTACATGCCATGTGCAGAGGAATGACAGGCCATCTAATAAAGGAAGTACAATTTAAAGAACAAATAAATGACATCAGGTATTTAAAATAACTGATAAACTACAGTTTCTGCTCATTCCCAGAACCTGTTTTGCAGGTGGCATTTGCTTGTATGTTTTGAAAGGGCTGGGTACGATTCAGTTATGCCAACACAAGCCATTTTAAGTTAGTAGTTTTAACAGAAACACCATCAATAATGATGCTCTCTCTTCCTATTTTTTTTGCAGACTTGAAAGAATGCTATTACTTCTCTTCTGAGGACTTAGAGATAGAAAACTCTATGAGATTTTTATCATTATAGAAGATACTGAACAATAATAAGGATAAAAAACCTAATCTCTATAAATACATTTCCAGACAGCATAGTTTATTCTCAGGAATGATTAAATATTTCAGACATCCCGAAAGTATTTTGGAATGTAGTTACACAGAATTATTTTTGCTCTTCTCTCAGTTTTCTATTGTAAGTGAAAGCTTTTTTATCACAAACCACATGCAGAGGCATGTGAAATCCTACTTTTTTAGCAGTGGATGTGCACAGGGGCAAAAGATCTACAGTATTTGGTAGTTCGGGAATAAATGCCTTAAAACGAACTCTGCCTTGATTCACATTCACTTTGTTCAGTGGGCTCAATGTTAGGAATGTATGGTTAGGTATACAACTTGGTTTTAGTCTGCTGTAACAGAAAATGTGGTTGGTGATGGGTCTGAGAGAGAGGATTTACAGTACCTGTGCACTCAGTGTCTCCAGAGGACTTTCCACTCTCGGAAAAGCCATTAGTGGCATTCCCCGTGGATCTTCAGGCTTCGGTTTAGAAGGAGCTCCATGAGTGCCCTTAAAGTTATGGACAACACATATCCCCTGTGTAATGCAGAAAAAGCAAGTGAGGTTGGTGTGTTCTGTCCCCAGGAAAACTCAGAGGAGTTAACACTGGGGTCACAACTGCCAGCTTCTGAAAAGAATTTAACCTGGATTTTGGTTCAAGGCGCCACCTGCCTCAGCCTTGGGCTACAGTGCAGCTGAGTGTGATGGACTGCTTTGGGAAGTGGGTTAATCTGAGGTGATGAACCATTCTCAGCCTTATTTATACATTTTACATTTCACACAGCAGAGATTCCCATGTATGCTTTATCATCCCAGAACCACAGACTACCTGAACGATGCACTTTACTGGCCAAATACTCCCTTCAGACTGTGACTTTATCACTTCCAAGCTGTGAAAATAGTTCAGTGGATGGCTGCATCTCCCTCACATCTGGATAACATAATTTAGCATCACTCCTTCATACTTGCAGCAGCACTGGGACAACAGACTCACATTGCATAGACAAGATTTAAACTGCCCTTCCCAATAGGAACCAGACAAATAATTTACATTAAAGCCAAGGAAATTCAGGTCAGAGGTTGTAGATATCTTTTTATTTAAAGGGAACATGGAAACAACTGACATGTGGAGGTTTGTTGTTGTTGCTTTTTTAAGTACAGAATAGGAAAAAAAGGAATCAGCGACAGGACAATCAAGATTTAAGGGATCATTGAAACATAATCTCTCCTGATTACAGAGATAAAGTGTCTGTTGCTGTGCAGTGGATAGTTTTGAAGCATATTTTCATTAAATGGAACCAGGCACATTTCTTGGTAATAACAAGAATGACCTGGACTGCTGCCTGTGTGAGTAAATGCTCAGCAACAGACCTCTCACCAAACAAATCACTTCAACCACAGAGCCCACAGGAGAGCCAGGTACACTTCAAGTCTGGAAAGATGCTGTTCCTATATTCTGTGGGAAGGCCTTTGATATATTTTAATACATTTAATTATCCTATAAGGGGGTAAACAATTTCAGCTCAACTCCAAATGATGCAAAGGGAGGTAATATTGTCTCCCAGGGAGTTTATCCTGATCTTCCTTTCTACTGCACTTCCTTTATGGTCCAAAACAAAACGGAAAACCAGGACCACTGCTCAGAGCCGCAGACAACACCCTTTATCTAACATTTTTGCCAGATACAAGACACACAGTAGGATTTTGTAACATGGGGGTGGTTAGAGGAGTCTCAAGCATACCTCCTTTTGATATCAGTTGAAAACTACACCATCTTTACAGAATTTTCCAGAACAGGTCAAGTAAGAACACATATAGGAATTAAAAGAATTAAAATTAATAAAATGTACAAATGTCACCATACTAGCCTTATCAATTAGTATTCCTGATTTCATACTGTAATTCTCTTTGATGATACGTTTAACTAGATGGGGCTAGAATTAGATCTTGCAGGCCACACGAAAATAGCATTTTTTAAATTTTTTTTTTTTAATAGTATGGTATTTTTAAAAGGAATTCACAAGGAACTGCTGGACTTACCAGAAACAAGGCTACAGCACTGCCCAGGATGAAGCCCGCGATCACGTCCGAACAGTGGTTCCGATACTCAGAAACTCGATTCAGCCCGGTAAGGAAGGCAGCACACAGGGTACCCAAACACAGCACAGGCTTGGCTAGCCTGCTGCTCTTTGTTTTAATTGTGCTTGTGATGTACATCTGAAAGGAAGGGCAAACCGAAAGTAAAAAGGGGCTCTGCCAGAAATGCATCCTTCCCACCCAGAAAAATCCTAAATCAGCAAGGATGTGACAAAATCCATGTTTCACTAAAAAAAGCACTGGGAAATGGAGGAAGAGGTTTCAGGTAATTCAGAGAACACTTTTAAGAGTACAAAACAGATACTGTTAAATGGTGTTGTTTCAGGATGTCAGATATCCCACTGGATTTACATACGGGACTTCTCCTGAGCTTGTAGGCTCCGTTTGTGCTCAGAAGGTGGCACTCTGAATGTCCCTGACTAAATGTCTGCAAAGGGAGCCAGGAATTGATGTTTACACTCCTGGAGAAACTCTAACGTACAGAAAATTTGAGTGCATAGCATCTGTATCAACCAGCTACTCCAGTCTCCTAAGTGGTGTTAAGTTTAAGAAAGAGAGAACATTGTGAGAAACCATTCCAGACATCTTCTCTGAAAGATGAAAGGAAACACACAATATGAGAAAGGTTTCTTTCAAAATAAAGTTGATTTTGAAAACGTAATTCTGGAGGACAAAGTTTCACTGTTCTCTGAGTATTTTTTAATTAACCCCACATGTTTCTGGCAGTTTGTGTATTTTCTAACACATTTTGACAGAGAGCAAAAGCACATGGGTCACAATTAGCAGCCAGTCATTAATTCCAGAGCCACAAAATAACAAAGATAAAGCAAACCAAGCCTGATGGCAAAACAATTCAATAAAATCCTTTTCAGCAATCAAGTATGGATGCCTGAATGATTTCCAAAGCTTTGATAATAAAAGCAAATACATCAAATAGGTTTGCCCAAAATGTCTCCAGATGACACACTGCTCCCCATATATGAAAAAGAATCATGAAAATACATTTGAAAAATGCTTCTTAAACAGTATCATGCTCAGGTTTCCTAATCTGGTCCCTGGCTGGCTTGGCTTGGTGCTTCCAGATGCTACTACCAGCATAGCTTGTTTCACCCTCTATGATCTATTTGGCAAACGTGAGCAATTATTTTACTATATTTTAATATCTGTCCCTTTCTAGGTGAGCCAGCTATACAGAGGTCATTATGGTCTGGCACATAGTCTTGGGATCAAGAAAAAGAAATTATATCCATTCTCAAGTTCACTCGGTTCATTGCCTTTTACATATTCCTGTATTCTGCTGTATTGTGTGTACTTTAGCTTTCTCCTTGTTTGTATTTACTTTCTCTTCTCCCAGACTGGACTACCAAATATCCCTATATCTGGGTTCCCTTCACTGGCTGCTGCTAAAAATATTAGCCCTAAACTCATGACAATACGTTACTCTAGAAAAAGGGAAGGGATGCAGAAACCATTTTTTGAAAGGGAAAGGGACAGGACAGAAAAACTGACCAGGGGAAGGCAGATATGACTCCCTCTGGGTTAAAAGGATACTTTCACCTGCCCAGAAACTGTGGTACTGGACTTCTAACTGCTTAATTTGCCAGATCTCTGCCTGGGGAAGGGAGGTCATCTGCCCTTAAATGTGCTATTAAGTACATAATTTAAAGGGCAACTTGATTTATGAACCAGAACATTATGAAACTCAGCTATTTGAGAGTTTCCTGTTTGCTTTGTTTTTCACATCTAAACCTGAGTGCAGCATATGCCTTGGAAAGACAGCTAACAATGAGCACTAGGTGGACCCGTTCCCCAGCCTTGGCTGGCAGCTTGAGCTGCACGTATCACCAAAACTCACGTTAAGGTTCTTTGGAAACAACAGGAAAACAAAAATCATTGCTACTGCGTACATAATTACCACCCACCCTTTCACCTTTTGCACTTCTAGCAGAAGTCAATCCAACTGAGGAACAGGGAGCTGAATTGCTTTCCTATTCCCCACCAAAGCACCACTGCAGTTTACAGCATCCAAAGGAAAATCCACCACCTCTTTAAAGTAAAAACATTCCTGCTGTGCCAGCTGTGAACAGCAGCTACACAGAGCAACCCACACACACTTGTTTCCTTACAGGTATGAGATAAAGCTGGATCTTTGGGTTACCCACATGGGAGGCTTGTCTTTGTCACAGATGGGAAGTATCTGTAATTGAAGTTTCACGCATCTCAGCAAGAAAATGTACACTTAGAGTAAAGAGAACATTTTTAGCAATGAGGGTAATTAACCATGGGAACAGATTGCCAAGGGAAATCTGTCCAAACCCTCATCAGGAGGGTTTTAAACAAGACAAACTGTTTTCCCAGGAGGTAGGCTCCAGTTCATCCTAAATCACACACTGAGCTCAGAAATAACTGGGAGAGCTTCTCCATTACAGTAAGAGTTCCCAATCAATGAGGCTTGATTTTTATTGCCTGGGTTCCCTACAGCCAACATATTTTTTAGAATTCTCACAGTGTGTTTACCCAAGTTTAGAGCGTGGTTTCAAAACTTTCTGCAAGAGACCAAAATCTCAGTGGAAGTCTCCTTCACACAGCAGGTATTTCTGAAAATTTCCAACAACACTAAATATAAAGCAAAATTATTTATTTACGAAACTCTAAATGTCAGAAACAGAGAGGAGTAAAGAAGTGAATATAAAAAGATGTGAAGTAAATATAAAAAAAAATGAAAAAATAAACTACACATTATTTAACTATATAAATTATCTATTCAGCTTCTTTGCTGTGTTCTTATTGGTGCTGTGCTCTTATACACCCAAGTAGTGTATTTAGCCATGTTCAATGTGTGATAGTAGCATTCAACCCATGTGATTCCTCTCCCATCTTTTTCAGAAAGAGAAAAGCAGGGACAGTCAAGGAGGCTTTTTTATTTACAGGTTTAAAATAGACATCCATATATACTTATGTCTATATGCAAATATATGCATATATTTAGAATGTATGTTATATCTATAATGAGAAATGCAAAGTGGAAGAAGTCTGTCTTGTCCTTGCAGCAAAAAGTGGGAAGATTTGTGATAGTTTTATTTTCCTTAGAAAGTTCAAGATTTCATACCAGTACTGGAAAATCCTGTCCTACAAGCTTTACAATCTTTCCTTTTACCACAGAGATTTCTATAAGAGAGAAGCAGAGCCTTTGACAACTGCTGTTTGACAACTGCTTTGACTCAGTGCAGCTGCCTTCAACTGACCTGGGCTGCTGAAGGTATTTGCTGTGGCCTTCTCTACTATTCAGCATTTCCCACATGTTCAAAGTTTCATGTTCAGGTGTAGAGGCCCAGAGAAGCTGACTTGAGTCATGGGATGGATTGTGCTGGCACAGCTTCCACCCCAAAAGCCCCCTCACTGAGAAATGCTGGTTAGGCCTCAGCCCTGAGGAACAGCACTTGGACTAAGCCCCTCTGAGCTTATCAGAAACACTGTTCCCAAGAACTTGTGCTGTCCAATGAGCACCTGTTTTTTAATGAACAGCCTTAGAAATTTGGGTTTTTTGCCTGAATAACAGCCTATGTCTCAAACACTGATAGCTGGATGGCTGTGGAGCCAACCCAGGACTGTTGGTAATGACAGACGAAATTCTTGATAATAACCAAGGATTGTTGGTATCAAGACACTGTGAGAACAATATATGTCTGGAGAAGGGGGGCCAGGCAGAGATAGGGCAGCATTTTTCAATGAGGAAGAACCACAACAAGTACAGCACAAGCACAGGAACGAGTTGCAGGAAGTGAGCATGGATTATGGCGTGGGATTAAGACCATCAGAGACCCCCGAAGCTCTCTGTCCCAGAAAGACCTAAACGAACAGACTGTGCACAATAACTAATTTACACAGAAAGCGAGAAACCTGACCATGAAAAGGTATCATGCCAAGCCTGGATGGTGCCCCCAGGGCCCTGAACATCTCACGGGCCAGACCAACGCAACTGGAATGACACTGAAACCAGGACTGACATCCCATCAGCTGGACTGATGCTGGAACCAAGACTCTTTTTCTTGGAAAAGAAAAAGAAAGCCCTTTTCTTTTGGAAAGAAAAACCTTTTTCTTGGAAAAGAAAAAGAAAACCTCTCCCTTGGAAAAGAAACTCAAAATCATGTTTCTAAGTGCACAGCAGAGTGGACTATGTACAGAGGTTGCCATGTCTTCCTGAGATAAATCTGGGAGACTGATAAAGTTTAATTAGATGCCATTTTATTTTTTTTTGTAAGTATGGAAGTCAGGGCTGGCAGCCATTTTCTCTTTCCCCTACTTTAGGCATACAAGATGCACCTCTGCCTGCAGAGAACACAGAAGTGATGCTCTGGGTTCTCCTCAGCCTCTTTAACAGGTGACAAAGAAAAAGGCCTTAATGATTAAATAGAAACCCCAGATTATTTAAAAAAAAAAAAAGAAAAAACAAACACACCAAAACCCCACAACGGCAAACCAATCACAGTGAGAATGCTTTCAGTAGCAGAGTAATGAACAAATGAGCACAGAAACATCTGCAGAGCACACTTGAGGTTTGGTGACGGCAGGAGACTCCCAGATCTCAACAGACATTCATACAATGACAGACAACGTCCGTGCTGATTCTGTTCTCCTGCCTACTCACGTTCAAGCTGCTTTATTTTCCTTGCACCATGGCTCAAATCTTCAGCTTTATGCAAAATACACCTATTACTAAGCAAATGCCCCGTGTTTCATGTTCAGCAGCCCACATTATCATGCATATTAGAATCAGCAAGAGACTTCTCCAAAAATTGTGCATAGCACAGTTATTAAGCAAAACTAGGTCTGAACAATGCATTTCTTGTGTAATGCTCATGTTATTCCCAGCTGACAGGCAGAGAAAAGACAAGTGATAACACCTTTAGTTCTAGAGGCAGAGAACTGGGCTGAAATTGGACTGTAGGCTGAAATGCCTTAAGGGCAGACTTTCATGACCTTGTGGCTCAGAAATGGCTCCATGTCCTGGCTCTACTTGGTATCTTCCCATGTGAGGAGAAATGCAGACCCATCACAGGTACTCGGGGAAGACTTAGAGCTCAGAAACATTGAACTATCTGGGACTTAAGCTCAGGAAGGAAAAGCAGCATTGCCCTTCCGTTGTAGAAGTCAGCCTGCTTGTAGAAGACTTGCCTACCTAGGAAACATGGGAGGATGTGCAAGGAAAGTCTGTGAAAGGTGTAATTAGCCCAGGACAGAAACAGGACCAAGCCTGACCCTGGAACTTTCACCTCATAATGCAAACAGCTGCTACAACCATGTCGAGTTTATTGTATTTGACATATGGCTGCATATTGTTCAGAAGTAATGTGCACAAAATGTTACAGGCTTTCCACACAGTTTCCAACAAATTCTGATCAAAGGAGTTGCAGTTTATATCTCCATCATTAATCACAGAACATTCAGTGCAAAGAGATGGATATTGAAACAGCAGCTGGTGGACTCTTCATCTTACAGTAATAATATGGTGTTTTATTCATCTGCTACGCTGAGCACAGGGTAAAGTATTCAGTAAATACCCTGTCATTAGTAATTTTAACACTTTTCTTAAATACTGATGACCTACAGACAGATTCTGCCACTACTCGGTCAGGCTACTGGGGGAAAAAAGACTTAGGTTAATTCATTTTAAGATCAGAACCAGGTTAAGCCCTTCGATCTTAATGGTAAAACCAACAAGATTTTCTGCTTTGTTAGTAAGATTCTTGGATCAATTTTCCAGCATTACAGAAACTTTAACCAGAGAACACAAAGGATCAGTCGATCTGTCTCATGAGACCTTTTAAGACAGATAAGTTTCCTTCCTTACAGTACAGCGGTGTCACCTTGTCAATATGTCACCTTGTCAACTGGGGTGCATTCCCTGTGATAACAACAAAATTCTGGCACTAACTTTCATTAGGACCTTCAGGTCATAAGCAAGGGCAGCAAAATTCAGCCTAAGTTCAGCCTCCCATTGAAGTGGCACAATTTAAATACTAAATGTTCAACAAGCACAGGAACAAAAGTAGCAATCCAGAAGCTGTTTAAGGATCAACTTCATTTTAATGCTCATCAGAGAGGGCCAGGCAGAAGAAGATCTTGAATGAGAAAACCAGCAGTAAAGACAAGCTTAGGACCTCATGCTTCTGGAATATGCAGTGCCTCAAAAGCAATAAGCACTTCATTTGCTTACCCCAGGACTGGTAAAATGAGAGAGAGAAAGCAGTTTCCCCCTACAGATAAAGAAGAAAGCAGCCCCCAAAACAACACTCTTTTTCTCCAAAAATCCATCATAAGAAAAATGTGCCCATCTAGATGCACATACAGAAACCTCTCACGGAAGTTAGCAGTCATCACTGGCACCCACCGTGGCGTATAAAGCTGAGTAGATGCTCAGAGCAGCATGTTTGGATGGAAAGGATCTCCTTGCCTTTTCAATCACCTCCACATCCCCAGTGCAGATGTTGCCGTTGTTTATGAACTGGTGGTGTGCCCTGCAGTCGTTCCCAGTGTAGTTGGGTTTACACACAGTCAGGAAGTAGGGAGCCAAGTTCCCAGTCACAACCTGGCCGGCGTTTACAAAGATGTCAGTGGCAAAAAGTCCAAATGCAAACACTCCTGTGAGGAAAAATTAAAACCAGTGATTACTCAAACAAGTTTAAAAAATACCGTGGTACCTGAGAGGGGGAGACATAATAGGAGTTATATCATGTATTCATACCAGATCTGTGACAAAAAATGAGATCTCTGAACCTGAAAGAGCAGTGTAGTACTGAGACACAATAGTGCACTTACCTAACATAACTACTGAGTGTCAAGTACATCCTGAATTTTGACTGTTCATTGTCTTGATGTTGAAAAATTAAGATTCTGATCTAGCAAGATTTGGCATGTCCTTTTGGAAGCAACCCATTGCTTTGCTCTGGAAGACATTTCCAGACAGTTGCAGTTCAGCTCATGTCACCAAGAGCACATAACCACAAATCCTACAGCATGAAGCGTTCACTAGAACATATTTCCAGGGCTGTGGAGCATCCCTTGATCAATACTGCAGTTGTCACATCCTCCACTGACTTCTCATGAGTGTTATCAATACCTGCTACAGCTGCTATGAACATATATGAGGATCTTTCACATGCATGTACTCCTCACATATTAAAGGAAAAGAACAGCACATCTGCAGAAATACCAAACCCAAATGTTCTGAAAGATTAAATCAGCTCTCCTTTTCCCCTTCTCATTGCTAAGGTTAATTAAAGTGTCACAAAAACGTAGAAAAAATAAATAATTGCTTCTGGTGTGGGAATATTGAGAGTCACGTATTTCTGCTTTCTCCCTCCTGTAACTGTGTAAGCAAAAGTAATTTAAATCATAAATTAGTTGAGATTGCTATGTATTTAAGTATGACCAAGAGCTGGAGCCCAAGGGAAAACATCCAAGAGAGCTGTGGTAAAATCTTAAAAGCTGGCACCACCATGATTGTTACACCTTCACTGCTTATATATACTGAGTTAGAAAAAGAAAATAGGACAGCTATAGCCTGAGATACAAAAAATATCAGAGAGTCAGCAAGATAATGCAGTGTGTAGAGGCAGTAACATAAACTAAAACTATCTAAAATGGATTTGTGTGAGTGTTAGAGTGAGGCTTGCCTGTGCCAGTCATTCAGAGAGATGGTGTGGTGTCTCTGTAACATAGATCCTTCCCTGGGTAATGATGGGAAGAGCCCTGTCCTTGGGAAGCAGCTGGGGGGGCTGCAGGACTGTGGAGCTGTTCATCCTCACCATCCTTCCCCAAGGTTAGGATGGAGCATCACCACAGTGAAGATGATTCTGGGGGCTGAGTGTATTCTTTATGTGAATTTATTTATTATTAACAAACTGATTTGTGAGCATGGATTCAAAACAGTGGTGGTCAAAGGAGGAGGCTGCCCTCCTCTGGTTCTAGACTGCAGGACTGACTCCTGTCTTTTTAATGGTGTGACAATTTTCCTCCTGTTTATCCTACTAAGTGTCTGTGTTTAAAAGGAGAGAGCACTGACACTGCTCCTTTATTTCCTTTATCCCTGTGTTAATATTTTAAATCCATGGTTTTCCACAGCTGGCAGGAACTTCTCATCTACATTAGTCAGTACACAATCAAGTACAAAGGAAAAAGGTAGTAGGGTATCTTTTCAGCCTGGAGAAACAGCTGAAGTTATGGCAAAGATGAATCTTGTTCTATATACAGCTCTTTGTTAATTTTTTATTTTTATTTTTTTTTGGCACAGCTTGCCTTAAATGGCATCTTTCTGATGTGCCATGCAAATTAGAAGGAATGTAGTGGGGATTATTACACAGCCTTTTACAACATGTAGAGGAAACTTACCTGCCAGGCAGTCTGGCCCATGGTATTTATCAAGTGAGTACAAGCCAAGAAACAAGGTGTTTCAGAAAAAGCTCCCAGGCTTCACAAAATTATCTGAATCCCTAGGCAGTGTACAGGTACAAAGGTGGTCCAGTGTTTTGCTCCATTAAAAAAAAAAGTTTCAACACCTGCATTTCCTCAGTTTTTGGTAGCACAGAACTCAACAAGTCAGCTGCTGAGAGGCCTGCAGCAGTCCACAGAAGAGCAGAGCATGCCACAGCTGAAACCTTTATCGCATTCTGAGTGTGGTGCATATTGATTACTGTAACTCCTCTCCTGCAGGTCTGCCAGACTGTGCTTCATGAGAACCACAGCCACGTCCACCAGTGAATTCAGCTGGCAGGAATGTCACCCTTGCAGGGTGGCTTACACTCCACATCATCCCTAGAGACTTGGAGGTAGGGCTGGCTGTAATTGATTTAAAGGCTGTAACACCAGCAAGCCTGGGCAGGGGCGGACAGTCCCCCGATGTTTTTTGTACCTCAAGAATCCATCTGTTCAATGGATTTGTTCAATGACCTGCAGCAGCTCAGCTAACTGACTAGAGCACAAAAAACACAGTGATGTGAGTGCCAGGTTTTCAGAGGCAGACAAATTGCTGCTGAAAGGCTTCACAGGGAAGGCAACCAGTCCTGGCTCTTCAGGGTCAGCTGAAGTCCTTGATATAATGCCAGAGAGAGAGAATGGGACAACATGTACCTCTTCCAGACTTTGACACTCAGCTGTAATAGGAGGTGGTGCCATCTGATCAGGAGTAAGAGATTTATCTCATTAAGCTCGCTCTGGGCCAGAAAACCTGGGAATGAACTTCAGTGCAGAACTTAGCATATGCTGAGAAAAGATGAGAACAGTGCAAGCCACATGGGAAGCAGACCTACAGCTACTTACTAGCAGAAGGGATGGAGGTTAATTGCATTTACATAAAGCCACTCTTTGCCCTCAGCCACATGTGTCACATTGTCTGGCTGCAAAAAGAGGCCTTAAAGAAGGAGCAGAAGCTATGTTTGGAAGGGCTTCCTGGGTTTTTTGTCAGGACGTGACCCTCACCTGTGTTGTGCATCTCAGGAGCAGTCAGGAGGAGGACGCTAGAAGACAAAACAGTAAGCAGAATGTAACTGAGAGAGATACTAGTTTAGGCCAGAGATAGAGGGGTAGGCTATACTCCCTGCTCCAGAGTCCAAGAAGAAGGAACTGAGGATCAGATTTGAACATGTCTTTGCCTCCAGTGACAAAGACCTTAGACAAACTAAATGTGCAAATCAAAAGAAAAAGAAAGAAGGAGAAGCCTGTTGAAAAATACCAAGGACGGACAACATGAAGCTTGACTTTCCAGATCCATCTCACCTAAACTAACGCTTGCCTTGGCAGAAGAATCTGAGTATCTGGCAGCTTCAATTTTGAATGCTTAATTTTTAATTTCTCTACTTACACATCCTCCTAAATAACTGTCCTCCATGAACCCACGATTTCTGGACTCTCACCCATATTCTACTCTTATGTTCTATCTCCTATCAAGCTCTTTGTGTGGTTGTTCATCCGTGTTGCCACCTCTAACTCTATTGCTTTTGCCAACAGAGGCACTTGCCCTGAAGAAGAATACAACTCTACACGCACATTCAGTACAACCCTGTCTCCTCCCTGCAATTCATGCTCAGGCTCTCTTCTTCCACCTTGAATTATCTCATATCAGTCACTGCAGCTGCTAGTTGACTCCATGGAAACTCTTGCTATTAGAAGCATTTAAAATGCCACTGATTTGGAAAAAAAATCCTTCACTACCACCAAAACAACTACAAAAAATCATCAGCAAAACCCCTTGGAACTTGTAGAAGAGCAGCTGAAATGACACAGGGAAAAGACAAGTAAGAAGCCAGTGGGTGAAAATGAGAACCAGGAGGTAGAAGGCCCTATGATAGAAAATCCACGAAACCCATAAGTAAAGTGCCAAAAGAAACAATGCATTGAAGGGCTCATGAGACATCAGAAGCTGACCTCATGTCTTCAAACAAGGATATTTATTTAGGCACTCCTCTCTCCCAGTGCCCAGTCAATTACCTGAATTTGTAATTCTCAACCTAATTAGCTCAGAAAATATTCATATTACACATGCACACTCATACTCCCCTAATTCCTTTTCTATCCCTATGTTTTTTAAAGCAGATTAGAGTTTCAGTGGGAAGTGTCCCTGGAAGGACTCAGGGCTCTATGGGAATGCTGATTCTCAGCCCATCTCTGAACATTTTGCTCTGAGAATCCTGTGCATCCAATAAAGCCATACATTTATAGTCCCGTGATTAAGACTCTGTTAAACCATCACTCATCATTATATCTTAAAGAGTGTTGTTAAAGGAGACATGTATCATTAATCCATTTTACAACTGCAGAGATGGGGGTTGCAGGGAAATTTATTGTCCTGTTGCCATGACACCAGGAACAGGCTCAACAACAACCTTCTGAGCTCTCATCACCCAATCATGGGACTGGCTTTGATCTCCTAGTGAAGACCTCACAAAGCTCCAGGCATCTACTGCCTCTTGGACAGTGCTCAGACACATGGTCTGAGCACATCAGCAGAAATTCAGTTCTCAGTACAAAAAACTTTGGAGCCTCAAGACTTCTCTTGAGAGATGTACAGGATATCTTCCTTCTTCGCTGCTTTCACAACTATCAGTTTTCATCTAGACAGCTGCCAACTCAGAGTCTGGCATACAAGGGAACACGAAGGGTTGATCTGTCCCCAGCACAGTGACCTGTTTCTCGTTGTGGATGTTCTTCAGTGATAAGAAAAGAGACCTCCAGGAGTTCGAGCTGTTGAGCAGTTTAGGTTAGGGGCAACAAACCCAAATATAGCTTGAGTCCTGCAGAAAAGCAGCCAGGTAATAACAGAATATGCATGGTTTCACAGCGAACCTCAGATCCAAGCCAGACAGAAGGATAAGGTCAGGCAAGCTGGGTCCTGCAGCTGTTCAAGGAATCGACATCAGAGCTCTGTCAATTCAGAGCATCAGTTTATCTGCCCTCATACAATAAACTCAATGTGTGTGTAAGTCTTGTAAACCTCTATTTGCTGAACTAAAGACTTAATTTACTGAAATAAAGCCCTAATTTCATTATTTAGCTGCCCACTGTGAGATGTCACCATGCTTTAGATTAAGTTGTCAACAGAAGCTGATCTGCACCATTTGTTAACTGCAAATTATGCACATCCAAAGTAAAAGCCTCTGGTAACAAACTGATGAAGCACATTGCATTTCTACATATCTGAGCTACAGAGAGGCTACTTGCATGTTATCAGGGCTTTGCAGGTAGACTACTTAATCATGTGGATTACAAACCTAATATAATGAAATGCAACAATATGTACTATAGTCACTCTGCCACAGTGAGTCAGGGAGGTCTGAATCTGTGATCCTGGGGGTGTGATAGCAGCTGCACATAAACAGACTAAAAACCTGACTGAAACCACTCACTAAATAATGCTAAAATATTTTGTAACTTTCATTTGTAATACAAACTATGAAGTAGAACATGGAAGCAAATGCAAGATGGCATGATGTTAACAAAGTACTGAATGGAAAAGTCCAGGAAGACAGAATGAATAAAATTACAAAATGCTCACGATGGGAGAGGTAGAAGAGGCAGAGGCCCAAGAAACAGGCACTCTAGTTTCTCAAAGCTTCCATGCATGAACAGCGAGTTTTGGCAGCAAAAAATGATGATAAAAGTGCCCCAAGGGGTGGGGAGAGGAGGGAGGAGAAATGATGTGACTAAAGAAAAGCAGTGCAGCACCAATATCTCAGAAAAAAATGCTCCAAAGCAATTGCACACCATTTGTTTGACCTGAAAATCTTTTAAAAAAATTGTCTGTGGAAGCAGCTGTAAAAGATAAAGATGAAGATGGAACAAATTGAAAGTCTGATGTTTCCAAGCTAAGCCAGCTTTTTTTCAGTGATAAAGAAACTGATTTTCTAAATACAGGGAACACAGCAGATTTCACCAATTTAGGCTGCAGTACAGGATTTAACAAACACCGCAGCAAGGTGAGAGGCAGCCCTTTCCCACAAAAGTTTACATGCAGAATTCATGCCTGGGCCAGGAAGCAAGATGAAACTGTGTTTCTGCTTCACATGGACAAAGAACCAGAGAGGGATTTAATACAAAGCTCAACATTCAAGGTCCCCACTAAACTCAGAAGGGGAGGCAGTTCGAAATGGACATCTGCAGAGAAAAACAAGGAGAGAAGGAACAGAGAGCATAGTAAGCAAGATAGGGATAAAAACACAAAAAAGAAACATGGGGCTTCGATAACATTCCAGAAGAGTTGCAGGGTTTTTGTTTTGCTCCACTATCAAAGTGTAAAAAAGTGCTTAGTTCTGTACACATGAAGAAAAAGCAAGAGGAGAAAAGCTCAAGTCTAGCAACCAAATCCAAAAGATCCCATGGAGACAGTATGACAAGGGTCCTTGTCTTTCACAAGACCAAAAGAGAGTTTGGAGTTTCCTTTCCTCTTTCTCTTTCCTTATAAAATCTAAATGAATGTTCAGTGAAGTATCTACAACTTCCTGCTTGTTTTGTGGAAAGCACATTTAGCCTACTATTCTTGAAACCCCATCTCTTCCTAGCAACTCCAGTTACCAAGTTATAGAGGGAGAAAGGCCTCTCTGCCTTTCTAAAATTTGGGAACAGCAACTTTCAAAAGTTGTCCGTGATGTCCCTTGTAGGGTCAGACAGTACTGTTCATTTTTTCTGACACATAAGCACCTAGACAAATGAAAGGATTTTTCTCATCCTTTTCAGTAATATCAACTGTAATGACTTCTAAGGCAATATTCCAAGCAGTTAAATTGTTACTTTTTGCAGATGCTCAGCAGGACTTGCTCAAACATCTGGGCAAAAGAAATCACCAGATATGGATGAATTTCAATGAATTAGTACCAAAACTAAACTGGGAGCAAAATTCTTTGCAACAAGCCACCCTGCTTGCTAAGGTATCTTGGAAGACATCCTACTTAATCAGCTCTGTAACTTTTGGCCCTCAAGTTTATCAAGAGAAGACACACACAGAGAAATCCATGTATAAGCAACCTGGTCATCTCTGCAGAGCCAAGCACCCTGGAAGCCTCTTTTTGGAGTGAGCAGCTGTGAGGAGCTAATTTCCCTGGATCATCCAGCACAGGGTACAGCTGTTCAGTCCATGCCATGTTTTCAAAATGCAGGTGAAATGCAAAATTAAAAGCATGCAGTTATTTTCAGCTCCTTTCATAAATTATTTCATCCACTTTTCAACAAATTCTACTTCTCTCATTTCACTGCAGAGGCAGGGAGAATGTTTCAGAAGAAAACAAGCAAAAATTCAGTGTAGTTTAAGACAAGACAAAGACTAAGCCATTTCTAATAA